CCGAAGTACCAACCAGCTCACACACACGCCGTCCTTGGTGCTCTAGGTCTGCTCGTCTCTGCTCCATCGTAATTAGTGCTCTCATTTGCTCCAGGAACTGCCACTCTTGCTGTCGAAAGCCTGGGGGAGTAAATAGGAGAAGAGGGAGGATTACACCATGCCCAAGCAAACCCCACGTGCTGGGATGACGACCCCAAAGACTAAATCTCCTGCCCACCGAGGGATGAGGCTGTGGTTGAACTTCAGAGCCAGGGGTAGCCCTGGTTTGGCTGGGGTTTGGAGCACAGCTGCTGCCCCGTTGGCTGGAAGGGAGCAGGGATTACGGCCTCTCACAAACCTCCTCACTCCAGTAAAACACACTGAGCCTTTGGCCTTCCGCTGACTTTGCCAACAAGTGTCTGACTTTGTAAACCATGTGCCAGCACCAACAGCAGTTGTCTGAGCTGCGTACTGACAACAGACAGCCAAAAAACTTCCACAAAGCTTATTTCAGCACCTCCAGCGCTTCCGAGAAAACCTTGAAGAGATGACCAAAGGGCTTTTAAAATACCAGTGTGGGAACGTTATCCCTTTACTACACAAATTATTTGGGATACGCAATGAGTTTCCACAATACTTCTGCAGAACACAGCACAGTCCTGTGCACTACTATATGAAGTAATTAATGCTTTTCTTCATTTAAAAGCCTCATGATTTTTTTAAAGCAATCCCATGATGCATGGGGGCCTGGGTTGTCAGCTTGGAGAGCTAAAATAAATTCAACCTGTCTCAGAAAACACAAGGATCTTTTAATTAGGAAGTATAGGGTTTGTTGTATTTGTCTTCTCACACCTGAAACTCTGGAGCACGCAACGGGCCCCATTTTCTTGCCCCATTAAAGGGGCTGAAAACTCACCGGTGCTTTTCAGTAAGCGCTGAGACCCTCAGGCATGATGCAACTCCAGGAACAATGTCGCTAATGGAGACCCCAGCGCTGGCCCCGCGCTCTTCTCCAGGCCAGGCTGGCAGCCTGCCTGGCTGTTTCCCACCCATTTTACGCCACGGACCTGCTCCTGGGGCGGCCATCTCCTCCCTGCCCCGGCTCCCGGCCTCACCACCCCCTTCCCCAGTGCTCCTGCCCCACAGGGACCCTCCTGTCCC